GAACTTTGGTTTGGCCTGATTCCAAAACAGACATAACACCAAAATATCCAAGTTATAGCCTCCTTCAGTCTTTTCCTTCAATGAAAAGCCACTGGTAGGTATTCTCTTAGGAACACCAAAAAACCATTCTGAACAAGCTGAATTTGAGCAGGCAGACCTTGAATTTTATATGGTATACTAAAATGCACTTTCTTCTTAGCGCTATTCCATCTGCATTTATTCTGCTTATACACAAACAATAATGTTTACGTATTTTACTTCCTCATTGTTTGTCTATATTTAAAAGAATGGCTAATAACAAAAAACGCAAAAGGAAACTTTAGTTTCAAATTCAACCCAAGAGGAAAAAGATAAAAATGCTTAGTTTTTTTGTTTGTTTTTTTTTTTGTGTGTGTGTGTGTTTTTTTAAAGGAGTAGCTGGGACTAGAACTGGCGCCCATATGGGGCCACAGTGCTGGTCCCTAATAATTTTCTTTTTATTTGACAGGTAGAGTTACAGACAGCGAGAGAGAGACAGAGTGAAAGGTCTTCCTTTCATTGGTTCACTCCCCAAATGGCCGCTACGGCCAGCGCTGCGACAATCTGAAGCCAGAAGCCAGGTGCTTCTCCCTGGTCTCCCTTGTGGGTGCAGGGGCCCAAGCACTTAGGCCATCCTCCACTGCCCTCCTGGGCCACAGCAGAAAGCTGGACTGGAAGAGGAGCAACCGGGACTAGAACCCGGTGCTGCAGGTGGAGGATTAACCAAGTGAGCCTAATGGTATGTTAACTGGACTTAAACCAGTAAACATGTACAAAGGCCATCTCACTAGTCAAAGTGATCAGTTTCAGTTCACAATTGATCATACTGATAGGTCTAAGAGTCAAAAGGATCACATAAACAAGACTAGTGTCTGCTAATACTAACTGGCAGAATCAAAAAGGAGAAGGATCCAACATAGGAAGCAGCATACAACAGCAGACTCATAGAATGGCAGATGTCCTAAACAGCACTCTGGCCTCAGAATCAGCCCTAAGGCATTCAGATCTGGCTGAAGAGCTCATGAGAGTATTTTAGGCATGGAAATCCAAAACACTCTGGCAAAAACAAACAAACAAACAAACAAACAAAAAAAACAAACACCACCCACAAACAACTAAATGAAAGATCTCTGTGAGTGAGAGCCCAGTAGAAAGAACGGGCCATCAGAGAAGGAGGTAGGTTTCTCTGAAAGGAGGAAAGAACTTCTACTTTGACTATGGCCTTGTCTAAATAAGATCAGAGTTGGTGAACTCAAAAGGCTTCCATAGCCTTGGCCACTCATGACAAGAGCCTAGGGTGATTACAGACATCATAAACAAGAGTATCAATTGTTAAGTCAACAACAGGAGTCACTGTGCACTCACTCCCCATGTAGGATCTCTGTCCGGAATGTGTTGTCCAATGTGAATTAATACTATAACTAGTACTCAAACAGTACTTTACACTTTGTGTTTCTGTGTGGGTGTAAACTGTTGAAATCTTTACTTAATTTATGCTAAATTGATCTTCTGTATATAAAGATAATTGAAAATGAAAAAAAAACCAGTAAACAATGAAGTGTAATTAAAAACATAAAACATATGTATTAAATGCTAGTAATGTCTAATTGAATACTGTTTCTTAAAGCTAGGATGCAATGAGGGACTATACATCTATCTACATTATTTAGGAAAACATTTTATTCAGAAGTATACTGACTACAATAGCTTGGGATCTCCAAATTGCAATTTATAGATCCTCAGGTTTAGGGAGCATCATGGTAGAACATACTAAAAGCCTTCAGTACTAGTTTCTAATATTGGCTTCTTCATCCTATATAAACATCATCTATTTCAAGTTGGTCTAATACATCTATAAAATTATGATGAAATACAGTTAATTCTGCATATCTACAGTTTCTTCAAAGGTAGAAGGACTGTCCCTCGTATTATGTATTTTATCACTTCCCTACTCTTGATGATGATACTGAGAAAAACCACTATTTTGACATTCTATACTTCCATGAATCCCTGAGGATTGAACTGACATCTGATTGGTAAACACAAGAAGAAAAAACCGGGTAGATTCTGCTCAGTTCTATTTATTTTTATTCTTTCCCGTAATGAGCTAGAGGCCTAACGCAATAAGAAGTTTCCAATGCTGCTCCAAAGGAGGCCAGATGTGGCTTAGCATTTTCTCTGATAATGATTAAATATGCTAAATTCCATGGTTTAGTGAGTACATTCATGAGGCTTGTAATAATTTGTTAATGCTAAAATTTTATTTTGTTCCTGTCACTCCTTGGTTCTAATCAATGTACTCAAACACAGAGATCATTACTGGGTATCTGATCTAGTTATTTACTAATTATCAGTAGTAAAACAGACCTGAAATTTTCAGAGAAGTTATTTTCATTTTTTAATTTTTAAAAAAGATTTATTTATTTTGAAAGGCAGAGTTACACAGAGAGAGAAGAGAGAGCTATCTTCTATCTGCTGGTTTACTCCCCAGATGGTGGTAACAATCAGCAATGGGCCATGATTAAGCCAGGAGCCAGGAGCCAGGAGCTCTAGCCAGGTCTCCCACATGAGTGGCAGGGGCCCAAATACTTGGGCCACCTTCCACTGCTTTTCCCAGGCCATTAGCAGGGAGCTGGATTGCAACTGGAGCCCATTTGGGATGCCAGAGTTGCAGGTGACGCCACAACACCAGACCCCAAATAAGTTATTTTTAAGTAGTAACATTTTATGATACCTAAGATCAGTACCTTCCCCATAAAAGGGCAGGAAACAGTTCTGGCAGTTACAACTCCTAGGACCATAACTTTAGGAAGACAGGCCAGATCCTTCATTACAGGAAAAAATAATTTTCAGTTAGATTCAAAAGGCTTCTATCAATCACATTTACAGGGCCAGTGCTGTGGCGCCGGTTAAGCAGCTGCTTGTACTGCCAGTTGAGTCCTGGTTATTTCACTTCTGATCCAGTTTTCTGCTAATTCAACTGGGAAGGCAAGAGAAGATGGATCAAGTTACTTGAGCCCCTGCCACCCACATGAAGACTAAGATGAAGAACCTGGGCCCCGGCTTCAGCCTGACCTAGACCTGGTTGTTGGGGACATTTGGGGAGTGAACTAGCATATGGGACTGTGCTTTCACTCAACTCTCAAGTAGCAGATGGAAGTGTGCATGGTCCCACTCTCTGCCTTTCAATTAACTCACTATGGAATTACATCAGAACAACATTTAGGAAGCAAAACTTCTGGAAAAGATAAACAGCTTTGACTTATCTGGGCTTGGGATTAATATAGATTGGATATGACAATCTGACTGACAACAGTGTTCACTCTTCAATTACAAGAGTGATTGAGCTAGAAGGGGAGACAGAGGTATAGACAAATTTCTTGAGATCCAACATGGACCTAAAACAGTAATTTATTTATGATGAGTCTAAAGCTTATTAAGCAACTACAATGAATCAGAACCATTGAGAGTATTCGAAACATTGTGATAAACAAGGTAACATCCAGGTGCCTTTTAGAACTTCTGGGTCTCACAGGGTGGTGGGAGGAGAAGTGCTGAAGTACAATTATAAAGCAAGTACTTTATTTTGATACAGCTTCTATGTCAATTTTGCCTAGCCACTGCTCTTATGCAATTTCACCCAATTTACCTACATAAATATAACCTAGAAATAATTTCTATAACTCCATTGAGTACTATCAGACTCAGCCATCAAATAAAGCTGTTAAGTACCAAAAAAAGACTAGGAAAGGACAATCGCTGAGAGGAACACTTACACTCAGAGACTTTCTTTTAACCACTAAGATGTTGTGCTGGAGTTTAGATCTGGTAAATCAAAGACTCATGACCCTTATAATTTTGCTTCCATGAACTCTGTTAGAATACACTCTCCCTCAAATCTCTGTAAGACAAAGATATTCTAGGCCAAATCTGACAGAAATGAATATTTACTAATGATTAAGGATTCCCCTAAGCAAGAATACATAATAAAGTACTAAATTTTAATAATCTCCATTTACAAAATGGAAAACCAAATCCTGGAATCCTGGGACAGCATGAAACCATACTAGGAAATATTCTTCAGGATCTTGATGCACACCGAAGGGGAAAAAAAATAAAATAAAAAAAAATAAAAAATAAACAAAAAAAAACCAGATGAATTAAGGGGTTGAAACAAAATTCCAAAATGGAACAAAAGTGGAAAAAACTAAATCACCAGATAAAGTGTTTTCCAAATTTAAAAGTCATGCAAATCCCTAAGAAACACTAAGAAAAATAAATGAAAAAATCTTCAAGAGAAGTTAGTATATGAAACAGCCAAAAGTAAAAAACAAAAAACTACACATTTTTAAAACAAGAGCTTAATATCTCACATACCAATGGTGATAAATATCAAATGAAAAACTGAAGGTACAGGTAAAGATGTAGCGAAAGAGAGAACTATAAACATTACCAATGAGAATATAAAGTAGAAATTAATTTGTCTGAAGACATCTGTAACTGTTAAATAAATATCCCTGAATATAGAAAAGGCTTCATATAACAAAGGAATTTTTAAAATAGTAACATCGTAATAATGTAGTTAAAAAGCCATTAAGAATATTATACTATGTAGAAAAAAACAATTGACATACACATATAACAACATCATAGTGTAATCTAACCACTAAACAAGGATCAAAATAGCACGACAGAACGGTTGATGTCATAGCGTTCAGAAAAAAAAGGAGGAAAAGTTCTTGTAAATCACACAGTCAACACTATATATAAAACAACCTGTAGAGAATAAGTGTCAACTGAAAGATTATCAGTACCCAAAACAAACACTGTTTTATGGCGGTATGGAAAAATGTTAATTTACAGACTGATCAGATAGCCAATAAAGCAACCTACACAGAACATGTTTTTGATTATTCACTTATCGTCTGAGTAAATTCTACTTATTTATAAAATCATAGAAATACTTTTTATAAAGGACTTACCACATGAGTAGTTTTTAATGTATTGCCATCAAATCTGCATAAACTGGAACTCTCTTCAAAGAAAATATCGCATTCTTCTAACTCTTGAGCATTACAAGGAGGTTTTTCTTTATCTGGATTTGGATTCTTAGACCAGAAAATAAAATAAAATAAATAATAATATAGCAAATAATTAAAAATTAATATGACCCACAAAAACATAATCAACAAGAATAGGCACAGACACAGTATGGACTGAGCAGAAAAAGACATCAAAAGAAGTATAAGCACAATCTGAAAAACATAAAGGAAAACTGAAAATGCTGACAGAAGCAGATGAATATTATAAAAACAAGAAACAAACTTAACTCCTAGATATGAAAATATAGTATCTGAAATGGGAAACAAACAGATGGTATTGACAACAATCATGGCAGAAGGTCTAATTAAGGGGCCTGCACTGTGGCACTGTGGCTAAAGCCTCTGCCTATGAGACCAGCATCCCATATGGGCACTGGTTCGAGTCTCAACTGCTCTGCTTCCTATCCAGCTCCCTGCTAGTGCATATGGGAAAGCAGCAAAGGACAATCGAAGTGCTTGGACCACCGCACCATGAGGGAGTCCCAAAAGAAACTCCTGGCTCCTGGATTTGGCCTGGCCCAACCCTGGGCCATTGTAGCCATTTGCAGTGAATGGAGACCTCCCTCTCTCTCTGTAACTCTGCCTTTCAAATAAATAAAATAATTTTTAACAGGCCAATTAAAATTGAAACACATAAGAGGAATTCAAAATGTTCATGGAAAATTGAATTAAAAAATAAGCAATATAAACTTTCTGAACATAAGATTCATCAAGTTCAATACCAGTCATTTATTCCTTCTTTAAAGAAGTGAGGGTTCTGAAAAAGTAACGACAGAAGCCTATTTTACACTATTAACTGAAGAAATATCCGTGCCCTTTAAAGATTTTTGTTTTTGTCCCCAAAGAAACCGTTTATTTAATGAGTAAACTTTCATAAGCACAATTCAGGGATACAGTGATTCTTCCCATCAAACCCACCCTCCCACCCTACCACATTCTCCCTCTCAAATTCCCAGTCCAATTCTTTGTTAAGAAAACAAACAAACAAACAAAAAACTATTCCTCAACAGTCAAGACAATGGTTGTTCAAGTCATTGCTTCTCAAAGTGCCAATTTCACTTCTACAGATTTCATTTTAGGTGCTCTATTAGTTATCAAGGATCAGGGAGAACATATACTATTTATCCCCTTGTAACTGATTGTCTTATTTCACTAAGTATGATGTGTTCCACATTCATCCATTTTGTTGCAATTCACTAGGTTTGATTTTTTTTTTACCATTGTGTAGTATTCCATAGAGTACATATCCCATAATTCCTTTATGCAGTCATCAGCTGATGGACATTTAGGTTGATTCCATGTCTTAGCTAATGTGAATTGAGCTGCAATAAACATGGAGGTGCAGATAACTCTTTTATTTCCTGACTTCACTTCCCTTGGGTAAATTCCCAGGAGCGGGATGGCTGGGTCATATGGCAGGCCTATATTTAGATTTCTGAGATATCTCCAAACTGATTTCCGCAGTGGGCTTAACAGTTTACATTCCCACCGACAGTGGGTTAGCGTCCCTTTCCCCCCACATCCTCGCCAGCATCTGCTGTTGGTAGATTTCTGTATGTGAGCCATTCTAACTGGGGTGAGGTGAAACCTCATTGTGGTTCTGATTTGCATTTCCCTGATGGCTAGTGATCCTGAGCATTTTTTCATGTATCTGTTGGAATTTGGATTTCCTCTTCTGAAATATGTCTGTTTATGTCCTTGACACATTTCTTAACTGTGTTGCTTGTTTTGTTGTTGGAGTTTCTTGATCTCTATATATTGTTTATTAATCTTTTTTCAGTTGCATAGTTTGCAAATAATTTCTCCCAGTGGATGGAAGACCTCTCCCTCTCTCTCTGCCTCTATGTAACTCTGACTTTCAAACAAATAAATGAATCTTAAAAAAATAAAGAGTCAGGCAGAAACAAATGAGGATAATGTGGACTCTCAATGATTTTGATTGAAACTACTGCAAAATTATCTGTGTTTCATGAGAGGAATGAGCAGAAACACTGTCATGGTGGAGATGGGTTCTCTGCTGAAGGTTTTCTTGGTGTTTTTTCTGCTAAAGCTTTGGCTAACTTTCACGGCATAAGCAGTGTTATCATTCGTTGGCACTTCTGAAAGTCACCAAATAAAATGCCTTGAACATCCCAAAGAACTGTTGTCATAACCTTTGTTCCTGACTGGTCTGTTTTTGTTTTGACTGGACCACTTCCACCTCTTAGTAAAGTTGCTTTGATCATGCTTTATCTTTAGGATCTTACTGGTAAAGCTATGTTTCATCTCTTGTTTGAAGACTTTGAAGAAATATATCAGGATCATGTCTCCATTTCTTTAAAATTCCACTGAAAACTCTGCTCTTGTCTATAGCTGATTTGGGTGCAAAACTTTTGGCAATCATCAAGTAAGAAAGTCTGATCAGGCCAGCGCCGCTGCTCAATAGGCTAATCCTCCACCTAGCAGCGCCAGCACACCGGGTTCTAGTCCCAGTCGGGGCGCCGGATTCTGTCCTGGTTGCCCCTCTTCCAGGCCAGCTCTCTGCTGTGGCCTGGGAGTGCAGTGGAGGATGGCCCAAGTGCTTGGGCCCTACACCTCATGGGAGACTAGGAGAAGCACCTGGCTCCTGCCTTCAGATCAGCGCGGTGCGCCGGCCGCAGTGTACTGGCAGCAGCTGCCATTGTGGGGTGAACCAACGGCAAAAAGGAAGACCTTTCTCTCTGTCTCTCTCACTATCCACTCTGCCTGTCAAAAAAAAAAAAAAAGTCTGATCAACTTTCAATTTTTCAATCAGAATTGTGTATGCTGAACCAATTAAGATGTATGAGGTGCTGATCTAAACTACTGATAATCATCGGTCCTTCCCAATTCGGGCATGAACAAGATCAATTTTTTCTGCACAAATTGATGTGGATGGTCTGCTGGTATGGGCTTCATCTTCACTGTCTCTTCCCTTATTAAAATGAGTTACCCATTGCAAGCAGTTGACTTCTTAAAACATTGTTCACCTAAATTTTTCATAAAGCACCAATGACTTCACTATTTTGCTCCCCAATTTTTTTTTTTTTTTTTTGGACAGGTAGAGTTAGACAGTGACAGAGAGAGAGAGAGAGAAAGGTCTTCCTTCCGTTGGTTCACCCCCCAAAGGGCCACCACGGCCGGCATACTGCGCCAATCCGAAGCCATGAATCAGGTGCCTCTTTCTGGTCTCCCATGCAGGCGCAGGGCCCAAGCACCTGGGCCAACCTCCACTGCCTTCCCAGGCCACAGCAAAGAGCTAGACTGGAAGAGGAGCAACCGGGACTAGAACTTGGTGCCCATATGGGATGCCAGCGCTGCAGGCAGAGGATTAGCCAAGTGAGCCATGGTGCCGGCCTTGCTCCCAAATTTTACCATAAATTTGATATAGGTTCCTTCTTTAAGTTTAACAGAATTTATGTTTTGGCTCTTTTCAAACCTTCTTAGTGCCTCAAACTAAACACTATTCAGACATGCTATAACAAGCTAACGTTGAATTTATTTGTTGCAAATAAATTTTGAAATCTAGGGGCCGGCGCTGTGGCGCAGCAGGTTAACACCCTGGCCTGAAGTGCCGGCATCCTATATGGGTGACAGTTGGAGTTCTGGCTGCTCCACTTCGAATCTAGCTCTCTGCTATGGCTTGGGAAAGCAGTAGAAAATGGCCCAAGTTCTTGGGCCCCTGCATCTGCGTTGGAGACCTGGAGAAGCTCCTGGCTCCTGATCGGTGCAGCTTTGGCCGTTGCGGCCAACTGGGGAGTGAACCAATGGATGGAAGACCTCTCTCCCTTCCTCCCTCCCTCCCTCTCTCTCTCAGTCTAACATGTAATAAATTAAAAGAGGGCAGGAAGAATGGAAAAGTACTGTGAACAAATAATGGACACAACTTTTTCAAATTTGATTAAAGCTATAATCATACAGATTCAAGAAGGGAAAAGAATCCCCAGGATAACTTTTTTTTTTAATAAACAAAATCTCAGCAAGTCACATTACAATGGAACTGCTTAGTACTAATAAGGAGAAAATCCTAAAAGCTGTTGGAGGAAGAAAAAAACACTGTAGAGAGGTGAGTATAAAGATTTGAAAAACACCAAACTGCCTTCAGTTTCAGATGACAAGATTCTATGTTTATTTTTTCAAACACATCACTGGTGTTCAATCATAAACAACTTTCTCATAAATATCAATATTCCTTTGAAACCATCCAATTTAAAATGTAGTTAGCAGCAACGATCTACAACCTCAAACTAAGCCTCCACTCTGATCACTTATATTATCCCCAAAGGCTTTCACAATCAATATGTGCTGAAAGAATCAGCATAGGGTAATGCAGCCTGCAGAGTGTGCTGGGCTACAAAGTCAAAGTTTTATAATCCAAAATATGAACTCGAGGGACTTCTGAAATTAATCACTCCAGGCAAATATGAAACTTTCTTTATTTTGGCCATGTTTCTTTTTTGACAGAAACATTCATTTTCAATCTTCTTTCTTTTCTACCTTGGGAAACAACTAACACTATAGTATAAATGATTTCTTACACAATCTTTCTCATCACTACAATTCAAGAAGGCAGTAAGTTACACATTTTACATATGTTGATGTAATTTTTGGTAAATGAACTTATCACTGATGCTCTGGATACTGCTGTAATTTGTTCAAATTCTTAATATAATCTTATATGTAATTAGATGGAAATATATTCAGCCTCATGCTCGAGTGAATATTGTGTTGTCATGGTAATCATTATAATGAATTACTTTCTCAGTCAGAAGTAACTATACTATAAATAATATATATACATATACACCCTTGAAGGATTCCAAGATCACCTAGAACATCTCAATGATGATAAGTTAAAATTATTAGCACATAAACTATAAGATTATAACTTTTGCCTCTGCCAGCACTGGTCATTTGATATGTACAGATACATATATGTGCATACCCTTTACACAATATGCCCACACATATATGTAATTACATAATGTAAGAAATTAGTATTAGAGATTCAATCCACACCACACATAATCAAGTCTGTTATATCAGGAAAAGTAAAGCAATGTTTGAAAAACATGGAATAATCCTCCCATAACATCCTTTGGGTCAGTGGAAAGTCACATTAATATTTCAACTGCTTACCAGTTCCTCTGATGTCAAATGCATCAAACGTTCAGCTATTGCAGCACATTGGGCTGAGTCTCTTATAAGTTCCCCTTGTTTATCACCAATCACTAGCTCAGGCCATGTCATTCCTTCATTCTTCTTGATCAAGGAAATCTCCAAGCTATAGGTTTAAAAAAGTAATGTTGTATTAAGCAGCTTATAAAATCAGTAAAAAACAGAGGATTCTTCCGTAAGAAATTACTATCTTGTTCCTTTTAGTTTTTATATGTGACAGAAAACCTCTGTTCCAAGAGAAAATGATTTGGATTTAATATACAATAAGAAAGTACCACTGGAAATGGTACATCAAGTTTGGAAAGCACAGGACCAAGATTGGAAAGTACTGTTGTAAATCAGGTATCACTGTATTTTATAGCATTTAAGTAACAAAAGTAAGGGCAGCAAGTACCATGAGACATTTGTTGGGGGTAGAATAGGGATGGGGTAGGCATAAGGCAAACCGGAAAAGGCCTATAACAAAAAAGTACTTCTTTGTATGTGGAACTATAAATTAACTTCATTTTCACAAATTAAAAGAAAAGTACACAATTATTAATATAAAGGCCAGGAAGATTAAATCAATGAAAATGTATTTTTAAAAATATGCTTAGGGCTTGGCAATGTGGCACAGGCAGTTAAACTGCTGCTGCAAAGCCAGCATCCCAGTCCCAGCTGGTTCCACTCCAATCCAGCTGCCTGCTAATGCACCTGGGAAAACAGCAGCAGATGATCCCAGTGCTTGGGCCCTTGCTATCCATGTGGTAGACCTGGATGGAGTTTCAGGTTCTTGGCTTCATCCTGGCCCAACCCTGGTTATTTTGGGGGTGAATCAAGAGATGGCAGGTGTCTTGCCCTCTCTCTCTCCCCCTCCAACTCTGTCATTCAAATAAATAAATCTTTAAAAAAAACTAACTTATTTAAAATCTAATTCTGTACTTTCAAGCCATTAAACATACTTCAAATGAATAAAGGGGGCCTGCCAAGAAATACTGAAATCAAGAACTAACAGAGCAGGGAAGGGAGAAAGAGGTAACTAAGGACATGTGAGAATAAGGAAGTGGGTCCCCTTTCCTTTGGTATAAGAAAAGAAATGCAGGTAAGATGTTTGGGAGCAGCTGTTGCCGTTAAGAGAGAAAAGTGGGTTGCTGTTAGTTGCTCCACAGCAAAGAGACCTTTAACACAGACCATCTTTGGTGCATGTGTGCTACCCTAACTCACGGCCCAGAACATAACTGCAAGCAGACAATTACAAGAATACAATAGGCCGGCGCCGCGACTCACTAGGCTAATCCTCCGCCTACGGTGCTGGCACCCAGGGTTCTAGTCCCGGTCGGGGCGCCGGATTCTGTCCTGGTTGCCCCTCTTCCAGTCCAGCTCTCTGCTATGGCCCGGGAGTGTAGTGGAGGATGGCCCAGGTCCTTGGGCCCTGCACCTGCATGGGAGACCAGGAGAAGCACCTGGCTCCTGGCTTCGGATCAGCACGGTGCGCCGGCCGCAGCGGCCACTGCAGGGTGAACCAATGGCAAAGGGAAGACCTTTCTCTCTGTCTCTCTCTCTCTCTCACTAACTCTGCCTGTCAAAAAAAAAAAAAATACAACAGTAACTATTATCATCATTATCAAACAGAACATGCAAACTTACCAGCTACTCTTTTTGAAGGGAATTCATTACAGCATTTTAAAGTTTTCTGAAATTGCTTATTTAAGGCACTATACAAAATAATATCTTCCTTGTATGAGTCCTTAAGATTAGCATTGAAAATCATCACATCAATAATGCTGAAATTTAGTTATATCTTCTAACAAAAAGCTAATTTTGATAATGATGAGGATGAAGATGATCATAATGACTGCAGCTTATACTTAGCTAATGCTTATCATATGTTGGGCTCTATCTTACGTTATGTGTTTTAACTCATTTATTGTTTATCACAACTATATAAGGCACTTTTATCATGACTATTCTAAAAGTAAAAAAAGGGGGGGGCACTGAGAGTTTAAATAACTTTCAAGGATACAATCTAGTAAAGCTGTCTGGTTCAAGTCTATGTTCTTCTCTACTGCACTATTATTTCGGAAAAAATATATATAGGGGCCGGTGCTGTGGTCCAGTGGGTTAAAGCCCCAGCCTGTAGCACCCAGCATCCCACTCGGGTGCCAGTTTGAGTCCCAGCTGCTCCTCTTCCGATCCAGCTCTCTGCTACGACCTGGGAAAGCAGTAAAAGATGGCTCAAGTCCTTGGGCTCCTGCACCGCGTGGGAGACCTGGAAGAAGCTCCTGGCTCCTTGTTTCAGATCAGCTCTGGCCGTTGTAATCATTTGGGGAGTGAACCAGCAGAATGGAAGACCTCTCTCTGGCTTTACCACTCTCTGTACCTCTATCTTTCAAAAAAATAAAATAATTCTTTAAAAAAAAAGTATATATGTAAATAACTATTAAAGAACTTTTATGCACTGACCCAAAGATATACACACTATTCATAGTTGCTAAATAGATTTGAGAGTTTATACAAATCTTCGTTATAAAGAATTTCTATATCATCAGTAATTTGTCCACCTAACCAATACAACTGTATTATTAAAAGTGCATTTCTGTATTTTAAAACTAGCATCATATCCTTCCACCCAAGCAGAAAAGGAACATACAGGGGCCGGCGCTATGGTGTAGCAGTTAAAACCACTGTCTGCAGTGCCGGCATCCCATATGGACACCGGTTCAAGAACCGGCTGCTCTACTTCCGATCCAGTTTTCTGCTGTGGGCTGGGAAAGCAGTAGAAGATAGCCCAAGTCCTTGGGTCCTTGAACACTGTCGCTCCCCATCTTCGTGGAGGAACGACACAGGACCCTGCGCTGTTCTTTTGTCTGCTCGGCCCTCCCCGGGTTTGCTGCTGGTTCTCCCCGGGTTGGCTACTGTCCCTTCCACCTCCGTGGAAGGGCGGTTCCCCCTGCCACATTCCCCACTTCCGCGGGGGAGAGGCACACCGCCGGCCGGCTCTCTCGGGGGCTGCACAGGTGTTCCCCTTAGATGTTCCTCTTCCACCAATCCCAACTCTGCTACCCACACGCCAAGTACGCTGCTCTCCTCCAATCAGAAGCAGGTCCCACAGTTTATTGGTTGAACTGGAGGCAGCTGTGTAGAAGCTGTTTCCCTTCTCAGCGCCATATTGTGGGAAAGCAGATGCATAGAATAAGTCTTAATTCCAGTAACTTAGTCTAGTCCGAGTTGCTCCCCACAGAACATGGATGGGAGACCTAGAAGAAGCTCCTGGCTTCTGGCTTTAGATTGGCTCAGCTCCAGCAGTTGTGGTCATCTAGGGAATGAACCAGCAGATGGAAAACCTCTCTCTCTCTGCCTCTTCCTCTCTGTAGCTGTGCCTTTCAAATAAATGAATAAATCTTAAAAAAAAAAAAAAAAAGAAGAAGAAGAAGAAGAAGAAGTGGCCAGAACCATGGCTCACTTGGCTAATCCTCTGCCTGCAGCGCCGGCACCCTGGGTTCTAGTCCTGGTGGGGGCACCGGGTACTAGTCCTGGTTGCTCCTCTTCCAGTCCAGCTCTCAGCTGTGGCCCGGGAGGGCAGCGGAGGATGGCCCAAGTGCTTGGGTCCCCGCACCCGCATGGGAGACCAGGAGGAAGAACCCAGCTCCTAGCTTCGGATCAGCACAGAGCCGGCCATAGCGGCCATTAGGGAGTGAACCAAGAGAAGGAAGACCTTTCTCTCTCTCTCTCTCTAACTCTGCCTAGCAAAAGAAAAAAAAGGTACAACTTACATAATAAACATCAGATTAAAATCTCTCCAAATTTCCACATGCAGACGTATGAAACAAGACCCCCTCAACTTACATCTTACACAAAAATCCACTCAAAATGGATCAAGGGTCTAAATCTACAACCCATGAAAATATTAGAGAACATTGGAGAAACTCTGCAAGACACTGGCATAAGCCAAGATTTTTTGGAAAAGCTCCAGAAGCACAGGCAATCAAAACCAAAATTCACAAATGAGATTGCATCAAGCTGAGAAGCTTCTGCACTGCAAAAGAAATACTAAGCAAAATAAAGAGGCAACCAACCAAATGGGAGAAAACATTTGCAAACCATGAGACTTATAATAGATTAATATTCCATCAGGAAAATGCAAATCAAAACCACAATGAGGCTTTACTTCACCCCAGTTAGAAATGCTCTCAAACAGAAATCAACAAACAATAAATACAGGCAAGGATGTGGGGGAAAAGGTACTGTAATCTACTGTTAATGGGAATGTAAACTGGTGCAGCCATTGTAGAAGACAGTATGGAGACACCTCAGAAATCTGAAAATAGACCATATGACCCAGCAAGTTCACCCTTGGGAATTTACCCAAACTAAATGAAATCAGTATATGATAGAGTTATCTGTACCCCCTCGTTTATTGCAGCTCAATTCACAAGAGCTAAGCTATGGAATCAACCAAGATGTCCAGCAACTGATGACTCTATAAAGAAATTATGGTATATATACACTATAGGATACTAGTCGGTGGTTAAAAAAAATGAAATCCTAGCCGGCACCGTGGCTCAATAGGCTAATCCTCCACCTGCGGTGCTGGCACACGGGGTTCTAGTCCCGGTTGCTCCTCTTCCAGTCCAGCTCTCTGCTGTGCCCGGGAGTGCAGTGGAGGATGGGCCAAGTGCTTGGGCCCTGCACCTGCATGGGAGACCAGGAGAAGCACCTGGCTCCTGGCTTTGGATTAGCGCAGTGCCGGCCGCAGCGGCCATTGGGGGATGAACCAACGGAAGGAAGACCTTTCTCTGTCTCTCTCTCTCTCTCACTGTCCACTCTGCCTGTCAGAAAAAAAAAAAAAAAAAAAAAAAAAAGAAAAAAGAAAAAAGAAAAAAGAAATCCTGTCTTTGTAACAAAATGGATGCAACTGGAAACCATTATACTTAGTGAAATGAGCCATTCCCAATAAGACAGATACCATCTGTTTTCCCTAATCTGTGGTAACAAATACAGTACCTAAATGTAACATAGTGAGGTAAAACTGACATTTTGAAATCCAATGTTTGTTTATAGTCACTACTATTATGGAACAGTGTTTTCTTCTTCATACCATTTAACTCTCTACTTAGTGTAAGGTTA